AAAGGTGCTAGTTCTTTTACAAGTTTTTTTGTAAAAAGTGCTAGTTCTTTTCGTGTACTAGACCTTACTAATTTTGAGCTGTTCTATATTGGCCTGTATAAGATGTCTGTGTTCTAGGGATAATTTGGATTAGAGATCCCTTCCCCCCTGGAATTTATCGTTAGTACTTAGTCTTCTGACCGGCGCGTGTTTCAAATATGGTGAGATTTAAGAGGGTGTATTTTAAATTTGTTATTGTATATTAAAATCTTAATTGCATTTTTCTTTGTTATTAAATTTCGAAGTGTTTCAAAACATGTAAAAGCTATTATACAGTATTTAAAGTGCGAATGGACCATCATGGCTGCTTATTTTTGGGTAAGTTTTCTCCGTTAAAATGTTGGTACTGTATCAGTCGATGTAGCTGAACAGTTCATTCTCAATATCGTACATATTTGTACATTTTTGACAAAGGTCACCGGTGCTTGTTCGCTTTAACATACAATTCTTTGAAGTGAAAAGTATGTATTTTGAAAAGGGTTGTTAATAACAGACTATACTACAATGTTGTAATGTTGTAGAGTCAAAGAGTTAAGGCTGCCCTAAATGTAGGAAAAGTTTTGACTTCCCGTTTAATATATACAAATTTTCACACGATATTAGACATGTTCCCCATGAAGAAATTTCAACTGAGCTTCTGGCCATGTAACTTCAAGAAAATCTTACAAAATCCATGTATTTTTGTTATAAAAAATATCTGGTCAGAGAGTGATGTGAATCATGTATAATCCTGGCTGTGCATTTTCCACATTGTATAAATACCAGCACTAGTAAACAAATAAAATCACTGTTACTTCCCCCCCCTGGGGATTTTTGGATTTTTTACTACTAAACTGCCAATTCCTCACCCCCGGCCATTTAGCATCATGCAACTGAGATATCGGGGGTGCAGTTTTGATGTTTTCTATATACTGGTATTTACTATTCAGTTTTTTAAATCACATTTAGACAATTTCCAAACTTTCCAGTAAGGACCCCCTGGAAATAACATATTATTAAACATGTTATACCGTACAGTATTACACGAGGCATTTGTTCTTGCAACTTACAATTGCAACACATTAATCTTTGATCTACAGGCATGTTTATTAAAAATGTTGGCCTGTGTTTTGCTTTTTTTTTACAAACATTTAATAATCGGGAAACAACACCTGCTAGGCCAAAAACTCCTCATTTGTGAACATCATATTCCCTACCTAATGCAAGGTCACCCCTGGGACCAGACACATGGCAAAATGTGCCACCTCCGGAAAGTGCACTTTTTATTGTTGTACATTTTCCCAGGGGTGGATGGTATAGGACGAAATACATTCTTCCGGAAAGCATGTCACTTTGGCTATAGCAGTATAGGTCTTTGTTTTTGTATATGCGACATTGCATGCTTATAAATTAAAGCTCAGCATCTCAATTGCAAAAACAAGGTTCTATAGTCAAGCTTTCATTAGCCATAGCAAAATTACAAACATTGCAGCTAAATGGGTTAATCACAGCAATTTCCTCAAGGAATGACTTTCTTTGCCAGATGCAACATGGAAAGACATGCTCAGAGCATTTTGGTATACAACACAAGAAGGTGACCGCGTTAAGACAACACAAGAACTTGAAGCATTATTTGGAGGTTTGGATAAATGTCTTGCATGCTTCTCGGTGAGATCCGCTCTAGATTTATTCCTATCTGTGATGCAGTTTCCCAAAGGGTCTGAGATTCTCATGACTGCAATAAATATCCCAGACATGGTGTATATTTTAGAACACCATGGCTTGAGTATAGTACCGATAGATATTGACCTGGGTACCCTTTGTCCTCGATATGAGGACATGAAAAGTCTTGTCACTCCTCGTACCGTCGCAATACTTTCAGCACACATCTACGGACGATGGACAAATATGGATGATATTATAAAAGTTGCCCAAGAACATCAACTTTTTGTACTCGAAGACTGTGCTGAATCATTTTCTGGGTTATCCGACCTAGGCCACCCGCAAAGTGATCTGACATTTTTTAGCTTTGGTGCTATAAAGTATGCTACTGCAATGGGAGGTGCGATAGTGAAAGTTAGAGATCCTGAGATGCTTCAAAAAATGCGGACAAAGTTGCTGACCTATCCTATTTTTTGTGAGAGTGATTATGTAGAAAGATTATTCCGATATTCCGTAGTTATGTTTTTGGCAAATAATCCGTTGGTTACAAAAGTTGGTGTACGTTTCATGCATTATTTTGGCATTGATTACAAGGAGACAATTGTGTCGCTCTTGCGTGGTTTCCCTGGTAATATCATCAAAAAGGTTCGTCACCAGCCGTCCACCAGCATGCTGCGTATGATGCTACATAAACTGCGGCAGTTTGATGACAAAGACCATGCACAGGCGAAGGTCAACGGAGATTTTGTCCTCGACAGTTTGTTCCAAGATATATTGATTCCTGGGTGTAATGCTGATACAATGAACTATTGGCTTTTTCCTATACTAGTAGTGAGTTGTGATTTTGTTTAATTTAAACATAAGATTGTGATGAATTATGCCAACTGATATTACTATCTAATTCTTCCATATTTTGGTTTCCATTCTATCTGTTTCTTTCAATCTTTCACTAGTTGTTCCTTTCTTTCTAAAATTTTGCCTTCTTTCTTCAAATCTTATGTACATTTCTTTTCTTTTCCACTATTTACTTATTATTTTATTCCTTTCTTTATTCTCCATCCTTTTCTTTTACCGTTTCTTCTTCCGTTTCTTCTTCCATCCTTTATTCTACCCATCCTTTCTTTCTTCGAATCTACCCATAGTGATTAAATCAGAATTGGTTTGTTCAACCTATAGTTCCCGATTGTATATATTAACCGATTATTGCGGATATAAAATAATTCTTTAGAGTTTAGAGGCTGTCATTTTGCCATGCTGAAGCATGTTGAAATGTCTTTTGCAAAGCCACAAACTAATTAGAAAATTTTATTTCTCTTATCTAATGATAAATTATTTGAAAGGCACATTAAATGGTGGTCTTTACTAGTTTTTGGGCGGCAGGGGTGCAAAATTAATGATGCCATTCGACTAGTTGTAACAATCGGGATCGTATTAAAACTTGGAACAATCAGTAATTTCCTATTGTGCATAATTGGTCAATCACTATCCACACTTATCCCCAGTATTTTGTTCCTTCTTACCCTCTTCCCTCCCTCCCTTATTTGCTTATATCCTCCCTTCCTTGCCATCTTCCCTTCTATCCTTCCCTCCCCATCTTCCGTTTCATCCCTCCCTCTTTTCTTCTGTCTGCCCTGCTTTTGTCATCTGAACATCTCATTTTTAATTTTTTTTCAATTAATTACCTGGACCAAAACTAAAATTATTTTGACCATGCAGGACAGCCCGGCAGAGTGGGTCAAAGAACTCGAAAGGGAGAAAATTGAAGCTTACAACGGAATCACTCAGCTCAACCTAGTCAAACCAAAGTTTCACAAACGAAGTCACACCCCTGATGATGAATACACAGAGGTTCTTCCCGAGCACCCCTCTAATGCAGGATCAAGTCATGAACGCAAAACGGATTGCACAGACTTCGGCTGTATAAATCACAACAACGCTGATTTATATCCACACAAAGCGAAGTTCCTAATCGACCATGTGCTGTATTTGCCAGTTCATAAACGAGTACCACTCAAAGATTTAGAGTATCTGTGTCAAGGTGTACTTAAGGTGGCGCAACGTCGTCATTCTGGTGTTGCCAAACCAAAGGAGTGCTTACTTGATGAATTTAAGAAGCTTGCGAAGTTGTAAGAAATAGTAGAGTGCTTATTATTTATTGGATTTAGTCATTTAGAGAGTTTTCAAAGTTGTAAGGGTAGTATAGTTATTGAAATGTAGACATTTAGGTAGAATTGAATAGAATAGCACTTATTTATTGTAGGAATTTATAGATATAAGATATCTTCAATCCATTTCAGACCTTGTGAACACATTTGCTTCAGTATTGGCTATATCGTTACACATGTCAAGTTTAAGTTGCGGTGTTCATTAATCTTGCAAGCCCTTGGCCTTGCAACACGCAGTAATAGGTGGCTTTCATCATGCTACAGTTCAATGCACATGGAGGACATTTACACAAAAGAATCTCATTAGAATCCAGGGGCGATCTGGCCTGATTTGTTAGAGGGGGTGGATGTTTTCCAGAGGGGGTGGTGCATTACTACGGGGGTCTGGGAACAATGTCCACCAGAATATTTTTGAAATTCAAAAACCCTGAAATGCAATTTCCTGCATTCTGAGCACTACATTTATAGCAAAAATTGCTACGATATCATATGGTGACCCGCCGTATAGGTACTTGAACTCGGCCCGCGTGCAGCCCCACAGAGAAGTTCTTCCCTCGGTGGGCCTGCACGCGGGCTACTGTACTTAATACTTTCTTGTGTATTCGAAAATCAATCGTTTCAATATAATAAGTAGTATTCACAACTCAAGTATGGAATACCAAGCGGATGCTGGACACCACGGGGTGCACCCCCTGGTAGATCCGCCCCTGTTAGAATCTCATTACTTGCCTTTCATCTGCTTTTGTGTTAAAGTCTCGTGAGATTGCTGGAAAGCCACCTATTGGCGTTAAACTGTTGTGGTAATCATGCATTTCTCTTTGATATTTATGCATAAATAAGATCTGAAATGGGTGGATAAATAAGATCTGAAATGGGTGGGATGTTGACTGAATATAATGTAATACTTAACATTGACTGAAATATTAATATAAGGTATATGATTTGATGATATATATAATAAGAATAATAATTAAAGAATTCCTTGCTTTCTTATGTCGTAGTGGTTCTTTATTTTTCACTGTATATTAAAAAGTATACAGTGATGGTGCAAGGTGATATACACCTTTAGAAATAAAGCTATTATTGTTAAGCACAAGATTTTATGCTCTGGGGATTTAAAATAGCTTCTAATCATATCATCAGTTCGAATAAAAATGGTTCAACAGACCTTTCCCCTTATAACCAAAATTTTGATCTAGGCAAGTCTAGACAAATATTTTCATCACAGCTTGAAAGAGCATCGCAAAATTAGTAATATTCCAAAGTTTCGTTGCGAAATGTTGTAAAATGAGGAAAATAGAGTCTTGCGAAGTTTGCAATTTTCAGTCATTTTGCATTACAAACGGGAAATTGCAGCCCCAACACCCCAATCGGATGTCAATTTCCCGTTTGTAATACAAAATGACTGAAAAACGGCAAACTTCGCAAGGCTATATTATCCGCATTTTACAAGATTTTGCAACAAAACTTTGGAATATTACTAATTTTGTGATGCTCTTTCAAGCTGTGATGAAATTCTTGTCTAGATCGAAATTTTAGTTATATAAGGGGAAAGGTCCACTGAGAACGAGTTTTTACTGTTTTACGTCGCTGCGTTAAATTAATCAGCACACAATTCATATGTTGGACGAAACCACATTAGAGTAAATAACTTCGTCATGAATAAAATTCACTTCTACAGGGTCACAGAATAAGGTACACAGAAGGTCGACTCGAGTAACGCTGCCACGCCATGATTCATCAAAATGCTGACGCCATGGTCCTAGCCAGTGCGGGTTTGAGAGGCATCCCCCCCCTGGACATCCGCCATTTTGAATGATATCAGGGGGGTGAATGCCTCTCAGACGCGCACTGGCTAGGACCATGGCGTCAGCATTTGATGACGAATCACGAGTTACGCCAAAATCATAGGAAAATCATAGGAAAAACGAAGAAGTCGGCCTTCTGTGTACCTTATTCTGTGACAGGGTGTCCCAAAACTATTGACATAGCGTATATTGTTAGAATTTGAATGTCTCGGCACTTTGCTGAACCTACAAGTGCATAAAAGCTTGACATAAGTAAATGTTATGCATAAAGAAACTGGTTAAGAAGCTGCTTTAAATTCCCAGCCGTAGGTTCAACAAAGTGCTATATACATTCTTATTTCAAGAAGAGCTTGATTTCTAAAGGTCTTGTGTTTTTTATACACCCTGTAGTTGTAATACTACATCATTGCGTAAATATTAGTTTATTTATTTTTTTGTTTTTAAAAGAGAGGGGTCCAGATTTGACACCGCTACAACTACCTCTCACTGACTCAGTAAGTACAGTATCTGATTGGTTAATCGGATATATCAAACGCATCTGATTGGTTAATCGGATATATCAAACGCATCTGATTGGTTAATCTCCCTTAATGGTAGCGGTAGTGGAAGTCAAATCTGAAACTCTCTAACAATATGAATATTACAAAACAATGAGTGACTGGACGACATGGAAAACAATGAAAAGACAATAGAACATTCCGATCACTGGATCGTACAGCTAGTTTTCGGTCTACAGGGTGTACCGAAAAAAAGTATACCTTTTAAAATTGTCCTATTGTAATAATTTGAATGCCTGAGCATTATGCTGAATCTACAGAAGCGTAAAACACAGTTTGTATTGAAAAACGAGACCTAAATAACACTACGAGAGGTTCATAGTCACGGAACGTCTATACTGCACTTTAATTCCGAAAGCTATTTGAATCATTTTCCAGAATCTCCTATTTACTATATTACAACTTGCCTACTTTATAATGAAACTTTTAAAAACAAAGAATGATATACGATACTCCTGGGAATCTTACTCCATAAAAATTGTCAAACCAAGTTAAAGTTTTAAATAAAAATCACTTCTATTTTATTTTACGCACCCGTGGTTTGATTTCAAAAGGTATACTTTTTTTTGGAACACCCTGCATGGTTCGGTATTTTTTACCCTTGGGGCACTGTTATGCTAAATGTTATGCAAATAATTTCCCCTCAAGAAGGCACTCAGATTCCATCGTCCTCATTCATCCCTAGCCTTATAAGATCTCTCTGGCCAGATTCCTACGGAATAACCGTTCATTCATTATCACTCTCTAAACTATAAAGTGTCTCAACTGCTCCAGGGATGGAATTTCTAGTGTGTTATAGTATGTCACTGCTTCCAGCGCGCTATCCAATCCAATATTAAATAGTGGATGCGTCGTATTCTATAAAGAAAGATACGAATAAGATATATTTAATATTAAGTGGAGCTAAAAGGTTAAAATCATTATCGTACCAATAAATTATCTTCATTTCCAACCACATTGCGATTGACCTTGTCCATTTCGTTAAAATGCTGCGCGACAGATAGACCACTTAAACAGTAACATGTATGGTAGAAATCACGAACTCTAAAACAGAAAATTCAACACGTTAAAACCCTCCTACCAGCTTCACCAACCTCTCCTCCTTGAGAAGTAGGGACCTTAAGCAGACAGGACGGCAACGCGACGACTATTCACACAATGATATTCCTGATCTCGTACAAAAGAAATGAATAATTAAAAGCCCCACGGGAGTTAGAGACGTTGTGTTAGGGCTTTTTAAAACGGCAAACCAGAGATTTTCACGAGTCTCTTGTACAACGCAAACATGTCAAGACGCGACAAGTGAAACTGCAAGTTTGCTCAGCAGAAGCGTTTTTAACCATAAAGCCTTTGTTTTATTCTCTTCAAACTGAACTCAATTCATGTATACATGCAGTGGATAATAGATAACAACACTTCTTCGCAATAATTTATTTGAAGAAGTTTGATTTGGTTGTCGTCGTCGCGTTGCGGTCGTACATGCTTAAGGTCCCTAATATTAAAGCATGCAGGGGCCAGTTGTTCACGGTTAGCTTAATCCTATGTTAAAGTGCAATTAACCCCAAATATAATTTTTGGTATGTGTAATATTTGGGTCATTCTAAGAAGAAATGTAATGTATCTTTATAGTAAAAAACCTCATCTTGATCAACTTTTTCACTGGCAAAGTTTCCGGATATGATGTCATTATAGGTGAATTTTTGGTGAAAAAAAACAAAGGAAAACTACATTGGAGAGAGATTTGTGACGTAATTATCGGGAAAAAAAGATGAAAGACAAAAAAATAAAAAGTAATGCGAGATGTATTATAACCTATTATTTCAGTGTTCGTAATTTTAATTTGCAACTCACCTAATGACATCATATCCGGAAACATTGACAGTGAAAAAGTTGATCAACATGGGATTTTTTATCACAAAGATACATTACATTTCGTCTTCGGATGACCCAAATATCACACAAACCAAAAATCGTATTTGTGGTTAGTCGCACTTTAACGAAATACTTCAAAGCAATCCAAGACTTACTTTCCAGGTTTATCAATGAGCCCGCCAGAAGGATATTGACAGTTTGCTAGTAAGTATGTTTGCAACGCAGCTGAAAGAAACGGGAAATAATATTACTGTAGGTTTACTTATGCTATCGCAATCTTTATTAGGTAAGCTTAAGTTTTCGTCTTGAGACTTGTCCCATCGTGTGTACAGCTCTTGCGACATGTCGATGGAACAAAATTAAAATTGACCAACCAGAGTGAATTGTCACAGCGACTTGTCGCCTTGAAATCTCGCTCTGCATGTGTGACCACAAGTTCCCGCAACCATTTGTTGCGTGGAAAGGTCGCTCCACGCAAGTCCTCACGAGCTCGTTCCTCCGACTTGTCCCTCTTTAGGTTTTTTATGCATGGCTCTTTGGCTCACCTTGATCAAACATCCAACTTTCACTACTTAATGCTTGATCATTCTGCTTCTTTAGGACATGATGTATTAAAGGAAATACACCTCCTTGCCACAGTGAGTAACAACCATCCACTAACTTGTTCGTTCTCCCCTTTTGGAAAATATACAATAAAATTACATATACTATAGTTTTCCAAGTTATATCATAGTTTAGGGAATGAATAGATGG